GCCATGACCAACATTCACAATGCAATTTCATCAGTCAATTTGCAAGGTCAAATCAAAGTCTCCACAGCAATAGACTCAACCCTAATTTCCAACCCCTACCCACCTAATGATGGAGTTTTCAATTCAGAGTCATACATAAAACCCATTGTTGAGTTCTTGAAGAACACCGGAGCCCCACTTCTTGCAAACATTTATCCTTACTTTGCTTACATTGGTGATAAAGAAAACATTCCTCTTGAATATGCTCTTTTCACCCAACAGGGGGAGAACAGTGTTGGGTACCAGAACCTGTTTGATGCAATGCTTGATTCAGTATATGCTGCACTTGAGAAAGCGGGAGCAGGTGATGTGAAGATTGTTGTTTCTGAGAGTGGGTGGCCATCTGCAGGTGGAGATGGAGCTTCAGCAGAAAATGCAGCCACTTACTATGCCAATTTGATTGCTCATGCAAAGAGTGGAAGTGGAACTCCGAAGCGACCAGGTGGGTCTATAGAGACTTACTTGTTTGCAATGTTTGATGAAAGTAACAAGCAGGGTGAGGAATCTGAGAAGCATTTTGGTCTCTTCACTCCTGATAAATCACCTAAATACCAACTCAGTTTCAATTAGTTCAAATTCAGACAGATTTATATACATAATCTTCAATTAGTTTCACTCCTGATAAATCACTCCTGATATTGTGAATGTAGTGTGTAACATCCCAAAAATACAGTCTAAAACTATATAATAAAATACTCACATTGAATAATATTACAGATCAGTCTTACATTAAAAGAGAAGTACGCTTGTGGCCGAACGGCCTTACAAAAAGAACTAGAAACTTAAACTGTACAAGATAAGCAATTCTGACCGAACGATTTACAAAAGCCAACACCGGACGGTCATACAAAAGAAAAGGGAAAATGTGATCGAACGATCACCTTACTATCAAACTATACTACTGACCGAACAGTTCTACTATTCGGTCTTAACTTCTACCTCGACTAAGTTTTCTTCTTCCAGCGCTTCTTCCAGCAGCTCGTCTCCTTCTGCTCACATCCACATGGATGATCATTGCAACAGAAAGACAACCGAACGTACAAAACATACAAGACAGAAAGACATAGGGTAAGCTTATGTAATTTAATTCATGTATCAACATATATTTCACATAATTCAACCAAACAAGATAATTCATTAACTCACTCATGCAAAGCCTAATACTAGACTGACTGTCCAGACTGTATGAATTCTTTGTAGCTACGACGTTCGTGCACACGGGTGATGTAGTAACTGGGATACCCCCAACAGCTGTCACCCAAGGTTAGTCCTATCTGTCCAAATTAACCATAAGGACTAGGACCTCCTGTCGTTCCCACACATGACTTACCCTCCTCTACGTGAGAACGAGTAATCACGAAACATCAGGATGAACCGCCAGCTTAGCATGCCCACATTCATACTTTACCAAATTTCAATATCCATTCATGAGATATTCCTCCTCGAAATACTCGTTCATAATCATGCTCATTTTATATACATCATATTCCATCATCTTCCATTTTCAACTTCAATTTTAACTAAGATCACTTAAGATACCAAATACCAAACGTACAACTTCAACCCTTAACGAGACCGAACACTTGGACTAAGACCGAGAGGTTTCCAGTTCCAGAACAGATCAAAACTAAGAGAGAATTACCATCGGGACTTGGGAAGAGACCGAGTCCAATAATATTTCTCAAGATTTAAAAGGATCGAACGTTATTTACAAAGTGAGTCAATTTGATGAACTGACCCATGAGCATTTAAACTGAACACCTTAAAGCCTAGACCAAGTATTAAGACTCTAGGCCGAAACCAATGGAAACAGACACTATACGACATTCAAATAATAGTACTTAAAGGAATCATATGAAGAAACTGAGTGCCAGTCGAAGACCGAACAAGTAGAGAGTGAACACCATTGAGTTTGGACGAACGCTATTTTCATCAAGGTAGATTATAGAAAAGAGAATGAGCGCTTGGTATAAGACCTAACACTAAATAGTACGAGCGCTTGGTGAAAGACCTATGAGTAAATAGTACAATCGCTTGGTGAAAGACCTAGCCCTAACTCGTACGAGCGCTTGGTAAATATAAGATATTATTTAATTAATTTCCAAGAATGAACGAACGTACTACTACATATAGACATATTTAAATTTATATCAAATTGCCAAGGAAAGAATATCCTTGGTGGAACGCCTGTACACAAATTGTACTAGACGAAGACGCTCGTCCTCAACATAAATTCCTTCCAAATGAAAGAATCTAGTTTTAAACGAGTCTCCGAGAAAACCGAACGATCAAAGACCATTCAGTAACGAACATACATTATCATAGGGAATTTCATACTTAGAATTACTTATCTTCAAAATTTCATACATCCATATCATAGTCAATTTCCATACTTCATACAATCAAAACATAGCAACAATCATATCTCATATTAATTCAACAATCAACGAACATACGTACAATCCAACCAAACAAACAAATCAAATTAAATAAGCTTTCCTTACCTCTGAGCGTGACCGAACGTTCATAGAGGCAGAATACAGTTCACACCACAACAAGTCGTTTACCCTCAACGCTCAACAACTTTCCAAACTAAACCAAGTAAAATCAAAACAGTATCAGAACCTATTATTTTATAAGAACGATCAACACATGAAACCAGTACTTGCTTTACATGTAAAAAAAAATTGCACGGCTGAGTGAAGAGAAGAACTTACCAGCTCATAACTCGAAACCGATCGGTTCAAAGTGCAGCTCTTGACACCAGAGGAGTAGAAATGGTCCTGAGTGATGATCGGAGTAAGAAACGGTGAGGATTTCTTAGAGAGAAGATGAAGGAGATGTAGAGATTGGAGATTTTCAGAATCTGGGGAAGAAGGGTGCATGCAGAGAGAGTGGCGTGAATTTCTGAAAATCAAAGTTTTCCTTCCAACGTCAAAACGAACGTCCACTCAGCTGCTAACACCTGCCTTCCACCATCTGAGTGTCGAACCCCTCGCTTGACACATGGAATCCACTTAGACGGCACGTGCGTGGATTTGAGTGGTTCTGACATTCTCCCTAACTACAAAAATTTTCATCCTCGAAAATTAAGGCTTACCAAAAAATAGACGAGGATACAAGTCTCTCATAGCATCTTCCACTTCCCAAGTAGAGTCGCCCGTCTTCTTGTCCCAGACAACTTTAACTAATTTGATGGATTTTCCCTTGAAGTACTTAATTCGGCTCCCAGCAAGGCTAACTGGTTGCATCTCCACCGATCGGTCTTCACGAATATGAACGTCCTCTAACTCCAGTACATGAGAAGGATCAGCGATATACTTTCAGAGTTGAGATACATGGAAAATTGGGTGAAGGTTGGATAGTCGAGGAGGTAAAGCTATCTCGTACGCTACTGATTCGATGCGCCTCAAAATCTGATACGGACCAATGAATTTGGGAGACAGCTTCTTAGGACGAACGACTCTGCCTACTCCAGTAGTTGGATTCAGTCTGAGAAAGACATGCTCTCCTGCAGGGAACTCCAAAGGCCTTCTTCTCTTGTCAGCATATGACTTTTGTCTGCTTCAAGATGCTTTCAATCGTTCTTGAATCACCTTTACCTTCTCGGTCGTCTGCTGGATAAGTTAAGGTCCAGTCAACACTTTTTCTACTTCCTTGAACCAATAGAGAGGAGTTCTGCATTTACTCCCATATAGAGCTTCAAAAGGAGTCATTCCAATGCTGGACTGGAAACTGTTGTTGTAGGTGAATTCAACCAACGACAATACTTCATCCCATACGCCCAGGTGATCTAAAACACATGTTCTAAGCAAGTCCTCCAACGTCTGGATGGTCCTCTCAGATTGACCGTCCGTCTGAGGGTGATACGCTGAGCTCATTTGCAACTTGCTACCTAACTCACTTTACAGGGACTGCCAAAATCGAGAAGTAAACCTTGTGTCTCGGTCAGAGATGATGCTGGATGGAACTTCGTGCAAATGAACGATCTCGTTTATGTAGAGTTTAGCCAAATTTGCCATAGACATCTTTAGGTTCACAACTAAGAAGTGTGCACTCTTAGTCAGCCGATCCACTATCACCCAAATGGAGTCGTGATTCTTAACCGTACGGGGTAAGTGAGTCACGAAGTCCATGGAAATGTTGTCCCACTTCCACTCAGGAATCTCCAGTTGCTGAAGTAGACCGCCCGGTCTTTGATGCTTTGCCTTTGCTCATTGACAAGTTAAACAAGATGCCACAAACCGAGCGACATCACTCTTCATACTTGACCACTAAAAAGACTTTCCTGAGATCTTGATACATCTTAGTCAGCTTTGTCCGTCCCGATCAGGCTCAAGATCTTTTGCAGATCTTCATCAATTGATTGCTTCTCTCTGATCTGATCAAAGACATCACTGGATACTCTAAGGTTACAACATCTTATATCGCTCGGTTCCAGCTCAAACTGTAACCTTAAATCTCTAAAACTCTCAACCAGACGGAGCTCTTTGACCATCATTGCCAAGACATGAACTACTTTTCTACTCAACGCGTCCGTGACTACGTTAGCCTTCCCTGGGTGATAACGTAGTTCAAAATCATAATCCTTCAGAAATTCAAGCCAACGTCTCTGCCTTATATTCCACTCCTTATGATCAAAGAGGTACTTGAGACTCTTATGATCACTGAAAACTTGGAAGGTAGCCCCATACAAGTAATGCCTCCATATCTTCAATGCAAAGACCATAGATGCCAACTCCAGGTCATGCGTAGGATAATTCTTCTCATGAATCTTCAACTGCCGAGAAGCGTACGCGACCGCTCTTCTCTCTTGCATAAGCACACAGCCCAAACCTTGATGAGAAGCATCACAGTAGACTTCGGACGATTTAGCCGCGTCAAGGATAACCAAGACTGGGGCGCTCGTCAACTTCTGCTTCAGTTCTTTGAAAGTAGATTCACACCGATCGGTCCACGCGAACGGGTGATATTTTCTGGTCAGCTGTGTCAACGACGCTACTATCTTAGAAAATCCTTCAATGAATCGCCTATAGTAGCCCTCCAGTCCAACAAAGCTTCTAACTTCAATGACCGAACGTGGACTCTCCCATTCCAATACCGCTCACACTTTAGCCGGATCCACAGAGATGGCGTGCTAAAATAATAAAAATAATAATAAAAAATATACAACATATCTTACCATTCATAAAAGGTGGCAAGAGGGGCAGTGGAGAGTAAGATGTGGTGGCGGTGTTTTGCTTCAAGCTTCGTTGCTTTTCACGATACTCATAATTTTGAAACCAACAATAAACGCTATACTCTCCAATTTCCCCATAAACTTTAAGTCTCGTTGCAATCTCGTGCACTTGCTCTCTATTTGGATTTCGTATACCAAATGCAAAAAGGGCCTCTAGTAGAGCAACTTGTTCTTTAGTAGGACTCCATCGTTTATATCCTAGCTTGTCTTGAACTTTCAAATTTCTTAAATTTTTGTTCATTTTTTTAAGAGGAAAAAGTGAAGGAATATTATGTTTGTGTCAAAGAGGGCTGATACAATTAGTTTTCTTTTAACTCAATTTTGTCCATAAGTCCAGTCTACATGTATTCTCCGGTCCTTACAAAGGATC